GTTGATCAAGCATATTTCTAAATCGCAAAAGAACAGTTTTCGCCATTACAATGATTTCCTTAAAAAACAATATGTTGAAGCATACTGATCCGTTCAATTAACACCTCCCATATATTTTATATAATTTATAATGATATTAAGTTTTTTTATAATAATTTCGTCATCACCTCGTAAAATTTTTTTTACCAGTATTCCTACATTATTCCAAGTTATCAAAGAGATGACAATTCTTTTATCTTTCTATGCTAGAACATCATTTTTGCTACCGTGGATTTTTTATTAAATTTCGGTTTTTTTTATTAGATTTGCCAAATTCTTTCTATTTATTAAAATCATTTCTGTTAAATGGCATTTCAATTTGTATTTCTTCAGCTAAAGTATAACTTGTGTGATATTGATCTGTAAACATATAGTATTCTTGAGCATCAGGAATTTTATCTAATAACATTCTTTATCTAAACATGTAACAAAATTCTGATTGATATCGAAACATCTGATCTTATTAATTTTTCTGTTGCAAAAAAATCCGTATATAATAAGATAGAATACTACAAATATAATCAGTGTTCAAATTTGCCATCGTATAAACTCTTATATTCCATTTGGTTTCTTTGGATTATAGAAATAGAATATAATAAATGATACCTCACTTTTGAATTTGATAATAGATTCATTCACACAAATTTACTCCCCCCTTCTATAAAATAATTAAAAAATTTTTAATTTATGTAATTATGTAAAAAGGAAGAAACTTATCAATTGCAAACGTGTTAATTGCAATTGTTTTCAAATGAAACATGCAAAAACTCTGACTGAATTTATTTCTCGTAAATGTATTTGAGTAAAAAGAGATATAATTAATATTATTTCATGACTAATATTCTTGTAAATTTGCCAAAGGCATAGTTCCCATATTTATTTTAACTTCAATAAATCTCCAAAATTCTTCGATAGTCACATCATGCTAAGTTCGCTATATCAAATGCAATGATAGTTTTCGCACACTATTTCATTAATAAGTTCATCAGTAAAAAAAATTTAAAAAAACTAATGATTCATTTATATTCGAAGATACTTACAATCTTGCAGATTTTTCGCAGGGTATAAATTATATTCTTCACAATATATCTTCTGATTCTATGCATTATTATTCATTCGAAATTTCTATGTCTTCTTTTTGGCATGATATTTTCACTTGAACTATTGTTTTCACATTCACTATCTATTATTCTTATTTTTCGCTTTCTTATTTCATTTCCATCTTCATTATTGCTTTCTCTATCATTAATTCTTTATGAATAAAAGTAATTTCGTCATTCATGAAAAATCAAACTTATCTTCATTTGAACTAATTTCATTAATAATTTCATTCCATGCTTACAAAACTCAAAAACTTTGAAAATAATATTTCTATTGCCATAATTCAAACTCGAACTAACGTCGAAGATGTAATTCGACTCACAATTACAGTCTAATTTAAGATAAAAAAAATCTAGCCATTTGATAATATATTATTTTACCTTTGACAATATATTATACACCTCATAAGATTATACGTAAAGAGCTTAGGAATCTATTTATGAAGCGATATTCTAAAAAAGACAAACATAAATAAATATTGTCGCCGTTCAAATTGTCGTGTGTTGGAAAGTTCACTTCTCGAGTTATGGCATCAACTCAAGTACCTGAAAGTCATCATTGGAGCGCAAAGGGTTAATAGTGCTATCGCTTTTAAAAATTGTTATATCGGAGAATAGAATCTTATTAACAAATACTAGATCTTCAATAATATTCTTAGCTTAATTATAATTAGTTATAATAAAATATTGAAATCTTATTATATTGTTATTGAAATCTTCACCGTGCAAATATATAATTCTCGTTATCTCTCTTATACTAATCTAAGGACTTGCTTTTAACACAATTATTGCATTTTATTTTTTTCAATAGTATGAAAATTCTGTCGGCAAGGAAAATTCTGTCTCCTATGAAAAGTTTCTATGGTGTTCTTAATATATACAGGGTGTTTATAAAAATGTGAGACATCTTTGGAAGGTGGATTCTAAACATTAAAACGATAAAAAAATTCATATACACATATATCCAATAAGGCTTAATTAAAGAATTATAAGCATTTTAAGTTTGTATTAGATAGAGCGAAATGACGAAAGAGCGAGAACTCTGAACTGGGTGCGCGGCAGCACTGTATTACAATATCGCTTGCGTAGCGGAGCCCCTCGATGAAAATAATATACTAATATTTTTTTATATATAATTGATTATTTCAAATGAATTTTAATATAAGATAATGTACAATATACATAAATATCGTGTAATGCAACATTTTTATATCATTTAAAAAAATTTTAATTATGCAAATTGAAATCTATATAATTATTTAACAAAAACTTACCTCAGACAAATTATAGCAAATTCCATAATATTTGGAATTATGATGATTATACAATATTTCATTTAAAATCATAAATGAATCGGTGTATATCATTCAACCTGCCGTATTTATCGAAGTCCATAGAAGCAAATCAAAATCACACTTCTATAAGATTTCGAATTAGAAAGGTTGAATATGTTTTTATATGCGCAATTGTTTTTTTAATTATTTTCACATGTATAGGAAAATCCAAAATAGCAATGATATTTGAATCAATTTGAATTTCAGATTATTAAATTATCCAATCAAATCATTAACAAATATTTATTTTTATTTCACTTGCACTAAATATTTTTCATTTTTATGCAGGGAGAAATAATAATCGATCTGGATATCATTTATTAATAATATGAATAATATGAAATTATTAATAATATTACATATTAATATCATATATCTACAAAAAATGCATACATATCACAATTGCTCTTTTTTATGTATGAATTAATGAATATTACAATTATCATTAATTCATTCACTTTCATTTCTAATATACGTTATATGAACGTTACGAATGAACTGAGTCCGGAACAAAGCAACAGTATCTTAGCAACGGGAAAAACTGTTGATCTAGGTTTTCGTATTCTTATACTTAAAACATACAAATATAACATTCGATTTCGAATATTATTATTTCATTTTTCTGTCAAGTATCTTTTTCTAACGCCCAGTATTCAATTGTTAGCAACATTATTTCAATAACATATTGTCGCGTCGCGGAATTAGTTCAGAATTTGATGAAATAATACATATTTGAATATTTGTTTAAAATAAAGTTCTAATTAAATAATTTTCATATAAAATTGAATTGTACAATAATAAATAATAATCGAAATAATTTTATTCAAAGAAATTAATGTGAATAGTGAATAAAAAAAAAATCTAACATGCAATAGTGAAAAAAAAATGTGATGTTTATATGATTTTTTTAGTAGATATAAAATAGTGACATTAGTATTATATTAAAATATAGATATTGAATTTCAACTTTTCTGTTTAATAATCTCATATCGAAATAAAAACTATTGAATTTAAATGAAATAGAGACAAAGGTTTTTCAATTGATACTTCAATTGGTCTATAAATTTCAAATTGATTCGAATATTATTAGTACATGTGAGAATAAACAATACTTTCTTGTACATGTGAGAATAAACAAGTTTATGTTATAAAAAAATTCATTTAATCTTTCTAATCTGAAATTATGGGAGTGTGTTTTGATTTGCTCCTATGGATAACTTAAAATGCTTATAACTCTTTAATTAAGCCTTATTTTCATAAATGGTTTATAATATTACAATTATTTTTGCAGTTAAGTTTTTTAAAACAATAAGTTACAACTGTGCTTATAAGTAATATAAATATCGATTCTGATTTGTTTGAAAATTTTTCCGTCCTTGCGATTTTAAGGTCATTTATAAAGAAATAAGTTAATTTGTTTTTTTCTGTACTTTAATAATACCAAATAAAAATTCTATTTAAAAAATATAAGATGATTTTAATATGACTTTGAAAAAAAAATGGAGATAAAAAAAAATTTCTTTCAGAATATCATTCCAAATATATCATTCTATAAAAGTCACCTTATGTTTTTATCCTATCATTTATCATTCAGTAATTACATTATGACATTTATCGTCATATCTTACATATTCCTTAAAATGTTGCATTTTATAAGTTTTGTACATCCTTTTATTAATTCACTATTAATAATAAAAATTTCACGTATAAATATATTTTTGTTCTATTATATAATGAAGCAAACTATAAAATAAACATTAAATATATATAAATATATATAATATATTAAAAAATGCTAAATTACATTTATATTTTAATAATGAAACATTGAATTAAGAATAATTAATAACAACGATGAAATTGGAGATAGAGATAGAATTTTAGCACAATAATATAATATATGTTTCGTGATGGATTGCGAAATTATTATTTATAAGGAAAAATTCTTAATCACAAAAAAATAAAATTTTGGCAAAAAAATGTAACGTTTAGAGGAATATATTACGCAATTTTTTTTATTGCCCAAAATCACTTTAAGGGAATGAAATCAATCCTTGAAAATTCGGTTATTTTTCTATTTTACGTTTATTGTAACTTAGCAAACTATAAGAAATGTAAAAAAAATTTTTAGACTTTTTAAACTTTTTAGACTTTTAGAATTCTTAATTTTTTAAAGTTATTTCTTTCTATATCGATATTAGGATCATTTCAATATTTAACAATTATTTATAATTAAAAAAAGTTATAAATATAGTTATATATATATAGTTACATAAATAAGTTATAGATAAATTAATAATTTTTTAAAAATTTGTTTTTCAATGTAAAATTTTGCTCAGCAATTTAAATAACTCTGGTATAAAAAAACATTTTTTATTTTTAATAAATACAATTTTTTGTGTTGTTGACTTTTGTTACAATTTTGAAAAATAAGGAAATTTAAATTATATATTTTTGTTTCTTATTAAACATCATCTTGAACATCATTATACTCATCATTATCTTGAACATCATCATTATCGTTTTCTCACACATCATCATCACTACCTTGTACTTTATCATCATCATCATCTTGTACTTCATCATTATCATGATCTTGTACTTTATCCTCAGTTTTCAACTAGTATTTCACTATCATCATCATTATCTTGTACTTCATCCTCGTTTTCACTTTATACTTCCCTATCATCTTCATTATCTTGTACTTTATCATCATCATCATCTTGTACTTCATCATCATCATTATATTGTACTTCATCCTCGTTTTCAACTAGTACTTCACTATTATTTTCATTATCTTGAATTTCATTATCATCATCTTCTTGTACTTCATACTCGTTTTCAACTAGTACTTCAAAATCATCATCATCTTGAACTTCAACATCATCATCTTCTTCTACTTCATCCTCCTTTTCGCCTTGAACTTCCCTATCGTCTTCATTATCTTGTACTTCATCCTCGTTTTCACCTCACTATCATCATCATCATTATCTTGTACTTCGTTATCATCATCTTCTTATAATTCATACTCGTTTTTAGCGTGTACTTCATTATCATCATTATTATTTTGTACTTTATCATCATCATTATCATCTTGTATTTTAACATTATTACCACCTTGTATTTCATGTAGTACTTTAAAATCATCATCATCTTCTTGTCCTTATCCTCCTTTTCACCTTGTACTTCCCTATCATCTTCATTATCTTGTCCTTTATCATCATCATCATCTTGTACTTCATCATCATCATGATCCCGTTCTTCAACATCATCATCATCCTGTACTTCAGCCATGTCTTTACGTCATTATCATCACAATTATCTTGTACTTCATCATCATTATCATCCTGTACTTCAACATCATTACTATCTTTTCTTCACCCTTGTTTTTACTTTGTACTTCGTTATCATCATCATTATCTTGTATTTCATCATCATCATTATCTTTTTCTTCATCCTCATATTCATTTTGTACCTTATCTCCATCCCCAAGTTATCTCCATACCTTATCTCTTGTACTTCGACCTCACTCTGTACTTCATACTCAACCTGTATTTCATCCTTTTCTTCATCTTGTACTTCATCTTGCTCTTCATCCTTCTCTGGTACTTCATCCTTATCGTCTTCTTGCATTACATCCTCATCTTTATCTTGTTCTTCATCCTCACTCTGTATTTTATTCTCATTTTCAACTTGTACAACTTGTACTTTTTCAACCTCACTTTGTATTATTTCCTCATCTTCTTCTTTATCTTCATCTTTATATAACATTTTTATTTTTACAAATTTATGTAGAAAGACTCATAATTATTATGAAATTTATAATTAGTAATTACAACTTATATTTAATGTTTACAAATATTACAAAAGACTGTCATCAACCGATAAGTTATTAAACTGTATATAAAACTATATTTTGTGTTTTCGTATGTCTTTTCAACATTATTTTCAGATTTAATTTTATTTATATATTACTCTATAATTTTAAAAAAATATCATAGAATGATCTGCTTGGACTCATTTTATAGTATGAAATTTTTACTTCTTCATATTTTGACTTACGTTTTTCCACATTTTTTGGTGTAGAATAGAGTGAATAATTAAAATTATTTTTTTCCTTTTGAAATTTTAATTAAAGAAATAAATGATGGAAAAAAATTAAAGATAAATTTATGGGGGTAATAACCATTTAACTTAAATTTTATTTGAAATTGAATGTTGATTGAATGTTGCCAGCAGCATCACTATTTTATAATTGGTTTATATTTGTTTTTCTTCGATACAAATTCTTCATTCCTCATATTCCATGAGCAGATACGCGCAATTGCGTATAAATAATTATATTCATAATTCATTCCTCCAAATCCGTATGTTTTATTTATTAGTTACACTGCCCGGTCAACAGTAAAATGTAATTATTGTTAAATAAATTCTGAAAAAATAGAAGAGAGAATGAAAAATAAAAATTAAATAAATCTGAAAAATCTGAAAAGAAAAATTAATTAATTAAATATGTATTTAAATTGGTATACAATTATTTTTACAATGATCGAGCTTAATCAAAATCTCAAAATATCTTACAAAAATCTTACATAAATAATACAAGAAAAATCTTAAATCTACGATTCGCGTTAAAAATTACAATCACATCTCTTACTTCGCACGAAAAAAGTTAAATGAGATTATACTTAAATATTGAGGAATAACGAGAGAATGAATAAAAAACCAAATTCGAGTCACTGCTGTCTTCATCACGGCTTATATGAATCGACTTATTTGATTCATCAAACGGATGATATTCACGTTAACCAGCAGAAAGTTACGACAGCGGTCTTGCAGTCGAATGCACGACGACCACAGGAAGGAGAAGAAATCATGTCAGGACCATCGGAATCGGATTACCAAGACGTCGTCCCAACGACACACAGGAAGGAACTCGAAGTCATCCTAAAACCATCGAAGCTGATTTACAGAAGATCGCATTCGACGTACAAAACCTATTTCAGTTCAATTGGTATGCAAAGGTACCAATCGATCAGAGCAATTGGTCTTCGACCGGTCGTCCGAAATAGAGCACCAGCCCGATGAATTCTTGCAATTGTTGGACTGATGGACAGTTACTCGAATTAGATTTGGAGAATAAACAAAAGTAAAAGTATCTAGCTGAATAAAGTCGATAAATTAAGGAATATAAAGATATATATCCCTTATATATATATACTTCCACGAAATTAGAGAATGTGTTTTCGTACGAAACGCGCCCGCGATAAACTTAATCTATATATTTTATAATCTTAACTTAACTTAAAACTAAGATGCGCGCATCTCACGATGATCCAGCGACGATCCCACGATGCTCATGATGGGGGTTTAATAAAGTGATACCTGCAATTCAGTTTAGACGACCAAATTATTCAAAGAAAAATTGGCACAATTTGCTAAACTGGACTGTGCATTGCGTAATTCTTAGTTTGGTATCGAGTTTTAAAAAATTCATTTTTGGAAAATTTCCTTCAAAAAATTTTTCAAAGAGTAATCTATGAAAATCGATATCAATTACCAGGTCTCACCACGAGTGACTACGCATTGTGACCCATCTAACGCTAAAAAATTAAATGCAACGATAATTAAATAAATTAGGAACACATAAAATACATATAATAAGTACGAAACTAAAATTAAAATTAATAATTAATATAAATGAAAAAGAAAAATGTAATATAAAAAATATAAATAATTGATAATTAAAATAAATTAATAAAAAGTAATAATTAATGTTAAATAAATTGTGAAAAAAACAGAGGAAGAAAAGAAGAAATAAGAATGAAATAAATCTAAAAAATTAATAAAAGAAAAATTAATTCGAAATAAAATGATTATTTAAATTAGTGTATTAAAATAGCAATTTGTCGCTGACAATTAATCCCACGTCGTGACTGCAACGAGGCTTAATTTATATCTTAATATTATGTACCTCTATCTTAATTTATATTTTAATAATAATGTAAATCCTAAATTTATAACACGAGATAGAAATATTTTATAAAACGAAAAAAAAGTTATATAATTAATTTATATCAAAAGTTGCTTACTAGGAGAAAGCTCAAAATATCGTATAAATTTTACATGAAGTTCAGTCTAATAATTGAGAAAAATGATTAATCATGCAAAGTTTAAATTGGAGTGCATATATGCGGTGTTCTTGGCTTGCCATCGGTTTCCATCATAATGATAGAATGATGAAATATTTTTAAATTTAAAATATATCAAGAACTTTTTAATAAAATATTTTCTTTTTACAAAGGACAAAATTTTGAAAAAAAATTGGAAACCGATGCTAATTACCATGTCTCAATACCGAAGAGATAACAATATCGAGACCAACAATTAATTAAATTAAAAAAAAATAAATCAAAAAATAAATGTAAGAATAGATAAAAGAAAAAATAACTAAGTAAAACTTATTAAAAATTAAAGAATAAATCAACAAATGAATTTAGAAAGAATAGATGAAAGAATAAATGAATAAATAAACAAAATTTAAAATTAAAATAATGAAACATAAATTAAAAAAAAAGAAGAAGTAAATGTCGAAATAAATAGAAATAAAAGAATAAGTGAATAAATAAATGAGTAAAATTTATAACTTAAGAAATATGTTATAAAATAAATATTTAAATAAATAAATCTGCAAATGATTAAATAAAAGAAGAGATAAATAAATATTAATTAAAAAATAAAACGATATACGACAGTAATATTAAATAAATTTTATTTATTCACAATAAATGATTCAAAAATGTTCTCGATATTATAAAAACTTAGTTAAAATATCACCGATCTTCTCGACACGTGAGTTCGTTAAGAAATGACCGCTCTATCGCATCGTATTTATAGGGGAACGCTGTCACTGTCACGAAGATGGACGAAAACGTACGATTTCTACCGATTGCGTCAAATTTGATTTATCGAATACAACGACCAGCAATTTTTACCATTTATTATTAATTCATTACAATAACTATTATACGATAAAGAATTGACATATTCTTACTATTTTTATTGTTTTATTACGTCCTTAACAACATATTTGGATGTTGTTTATGATTAAACGTAATAATTGATTACGATAATACCTTTACAAACTGAAACTAAATTTACATTTCTTTGATATTAGTTTTCGATTCAACTATAATTATTCAATTTTTTATTAATTGTATTAATATATTATTATTTTAAATGCCATTTTACCTGAAAAACCATTACAGATTATTCATATGCTACGAATTATTTTATAAATTAAAATTATATTAAATTAAACCATAACGATTGAAATCTTGACCGAAAAGTTCATAATATGTGCAATACGAGTAATACTAGCAACCTCAACAATAAAATTGTGGATCGAAGGCACAAAAGCATAAAAAAACTTGGTTTAATTAATTTTGTTGTCACATTATTTAATAATAGAGTCTATTGTTAATTATCAAAAAATAGATAGAATTAAGTATCGCATAATTGAGAGATCACTCGCACTGGCAATATATCATCTTGTTGTGATGATTTCGACAAAAATGAAATGACGCTATGTGCTATAAATATATACATATATATGTTTTTTTATTTAGAACTCTTTGATTGGCTGAAACGATGCAAATTTATTTACTTACCCGCGCGAAAATTGAAACATGACATAATATGATATAATATTATATAATATGATATAATATGATATAATATGATATAATTTCCTGTACATTGAAATCCTATAAATGTCCGTTTATGAAAAAATATAATAAGAATTAAGCATAAAAATTAATTACCAATAAAAATTAATCGAATTTGAGAGAATTAAAGACGCAATACAATAATTTGAGATAGAATTTAAATAAATATGTAAAAAATAAATGTAATAGAAGGAAAAGGAAGAAAATACGAAAGCTCATTAAATTAAGGAAAAGTAGAAGGTAGAAGAATGGATTAAAGCGTAGTTTTTAGCTTGGCATCTTTTCCAAAGAAAAAGGAAAAGAATTATGAAAATTATTGTATCATACTAATAAATTATTTTTCATGTATTATTTTTTTTAAGAGAAAATTTTAAAAAGAATATTTTGGAAAATGCCAATTTAAATGCAATAAAAATTAAATAGATTAAGAACACATAAATAAAGCATGAAACATTAAAATTAATAATTAACATAAAT